AACTTAAAAAATATCAGATTGAGTAAAGGTTAGAAAAGGCGACTATGAAAAAATGATTTGGGTTTAGAACTCATCTCAATCGTGACTGAAAAATTTCGTTTGAATTCTAACTTTTCCAATGCAAAGTCTTTCTTAAAATAATTATGATAAATTCATGTGAAATTACATAAATTCTGTCTGGAAATGGAAGGGGCGGTAGAGAGAAAACAATTAATCCTCGCTCCTTAAATAATTTCTGCTAATGATTGCATTTGACATTAAAGAATAGGGGTGGGGCGACTCGATATAAGAATTTAATTTATAGTATATAAATTATTTTAGTGACAGATGTTTTTATTTTGTAATTTCTTAACTGTAATACAAAAAGAAAAAGTATTGGTTTGTCCGATAGGGGAATGGCAATTGCATGAATCGCCCCTCCCACCTGGTACAACCCTTTTTCATTTAAATTTTACTAATGATAAAATTTGAGATTAGAGTGTGGTACGACATGATATACAATGGGTTGACATATCAATACGTAGTTTATATTATATAGATATTCAACTAATTTTGTTCACAAACTATGATTCTCCATAAAAATAGGACCGCCCCCCCCCCCCCCACACTCAGAGGGCTAGAGTGGGGAGGGCAGTTCATGCAATCGCTACCCCCAACCTCACCGAATACTTATACACCTATACCGGATGCCAAAGGCGATCTTCTTTGGCGAGCTTAAAGAAGGACGGCGTAAGTGGGTGCCCCAAGTAAGCGCTATAAAGATCAATTCAGGCACCAGAGGAAAGTAGCTGGCAGCAGATGGCCTCTTAAAGAGACAGTTGGAGAGCGCTCATTAAGGCTGCGGGACAAACATTTTAGACTCAAAGAAAAGCCATTATTGAAGACAGGTGCAGCACAGGCTCACTCATCACCATTTCTTCCAGTCGCTTAATGGCGATATTTAAAAAAAGAACTCTTCTTGGACTAAGAACATGTTAGCTAAACCAAGGCGTGTTCAAGAAAACTTACAGTTTACGATGTACGATTGTAATGTGTCACAAAAAAATTTGGCTAGACTAGACATCGATTTGTAGAGACTCTAAATCTTGTTGCTGTCCAAGAGCTGAGCCGAAGGCTCTTCGAGCTCTAAGTTTGAAAAAAAACCTGTTTGGACGTCCAGCCAAACATTAAAAAAAAAACAACCTGTGTGAACACAGTTCTGTTTGAGAGAGACCCGAGTCAATGCCTATGTCATTGCTGTTTCCAATGCCTTTGGCCCCCGACGCATGCTTGGCTGCACATGGCCGAAGGCCGAGGACACCGGGAGCCTCCGCCATTTTCCTTCGTTGTACCAAGCTAACAGTGCGGGACCCGCCATTTATGTAACGGTCCCTTTGAGGAACAGCGCATGGATGTGGGACAAGTTCGTGGGGGCTTTTTTGCAACCCCGCCCGTGCAAGGGGTAAACTCTCGTCTACCCATGGGCATCCCCACGGGAGTTATGTTTCGCCATTCATTTAGCCTAGCTACCCCCTCAAGTAGCCGTTTCCACCCAGGTGCCACGATGAGGCAGAATAGCGTACCCGGGAGAGACTCTAAATCTAGAATTTAGACTGGTGTCTATGGGTCTAGATCTAATTCTAGATCTAGACTCTAATAGTAATTGAGGTTATATTGTATAAAGTTAGGCCTTCATACAGTTAACGGCCAAACCTTTAGAATATTTATGTTTACATTGTGCTGATCTATAAACATTAAATTAATAAATGTATAAACTAGACTCTACATTTTTATCTCTCGGGCGATGTTTTTCTTGGTGCAATCCTGCAGAGAGGTTTCAAGTTTTTAACTTTATTTGATGCGTAAAAATACCCAAACTTCAATCGTAACAAATAATTTACACACTAGAAGTAATCACAGTAATCTCCTCTTTGTTGACACTGATTTGTAAGATGCCAATTACATTATTTAAAATAACAATAATAAAAAGGCTTGTCTTCGAGACCGAAGATGAATGACGAATGCTGTCTTTCCCGTGACAACGCAGCCACAGCTGCGACCTACATATTTTGCTACACCAACGCAGGCATAAGACGTGAAATTGACATGACATGTGGCGTGGCTTCAATAATGGAAACTAAAAGAGAAAAACATAAAAAGGGGAAAACTGGGAGAGTTTTTGATTTAAAATAGAATTAATACACAAAATAAACCATGTAGAATGATGACAAGATGGCAACTAAATAATAAATTTTTCTTTGTGCTAGAAGTGAAAAACCTTTGATTCTACTGTGTTGATTCTACTGTGCTAAAAAAAAAAAGGGTACAGAAATTATTATATTTACTAGCATTGCACACCGGATACGCCCATTGATTTGGCCCTATATTGTTTATTATGCCCTTTTCTTGTTTTGAAATTTCAATAAACGGGCCACATTTACACAACATTTTAGCCCGTGAATTAGTGTATCTGTTACAGTGAAATTAAACGGCGCGCTGTCTTTTCTTCTCTCTCTCTAGAACCCCCGGCTTTTTTTGTTGTTGTTGTTGTTGTTTTTTTTTTTAACCTGCACATCGTACTTTCTCCGACATAGATATGATTTAAAGATGAAAAGTTCCAGCTTTATAACGAGACCCCGACACGCACAAATGCTTTGGGAATTCTTGTATCAGTTTTATTTATCCCCGCCCTGTCCACAAAAAATAAAAAAAAAGGTTAGTTTTACCTACAATCTGACTTTTCTTCGGCTTCTTAATTCAATCTAGGCCTATATTGTATTTCGACCGTGACGCCATCCCCCCCTCTACACACAACCGCTTTTAAACATTTCGTCACATTTTCATTACAATAACCTTTACTTTTTAGGCCTCTCCAACTGATCGACCCATCAGCACAAACTCTTCAGTTTTGTCATTCTTTATCACATTTGGTTTTACTTTTGTTTTATCTTAAAGCAAGCAGTGTACGGTACCGGTATAAGACATCGCAAACATTTCTTTAAACAATCAGGCCTAGAGATTAAAATCCTGCACCATAGACTTATATATATTGTATCTAGACTGGACATGGAGATCTTTTAAAACTACAAAAATGTCGTGATTTTTTTTTAAAAGTTAAAACAAAGCGTTGTTTTGTAAAGGAGCTATAAGAAGTAAAGTCTTTTTTCAAAGCTAACCTATGTAACATATGATTTAATTTTTAGATCTAGATCTAGTAATTGAACATCCAAAATAAGAGTACTCTCGTCTAATAATTATTATTTTGCAATTTTTTAGATACATAATCTGAAATATCTAGGTAATCAATCTATTTAAATGTACATAAGATGATTAAAATCAAAAACATGAATTATTTCGATCTAGGATTTTCGAAACATTATCTCAATGGAAACCAACAGGAAATGGCTTTGTTTTATATATTAGCGTGAATATAAAGTTCTGTGATTAATAGCCCATTCTAATGAAAATCCGAGAAATGATTATGCATTATTTCGAAACTTTGAAAACTAAAGATCATTATCTTTCTAAGACTTCCATTAGAGCTTGCAAAAGAGTTACGTACATAGAAATCAGTATATATAGGTCTGTGAATCGATCAATCGCGGATAATAATTTGTTTCCGGTTTCCAGTCTAGATATAATATATATATCTAAGTCTGTGTTCTGCACTCATCAATACGTATGCATTCTGTTCACCGGATACACCAAATACCTTGCCATTTGTGGATTCGCCGTTAAAAGACGTTATTAAAACTGTATATTGAAACAAAGGACTATTTTGAACCAAATAATCTTTGCAATCAGTTCTAGGGAGTCATTGAACACGTAAAGTACTTTTTACTCTAAGGAATAGGTAGACTAAGTTGTTGCAGGGACATCTGTATTGGAGAAAAAAAACTAAAGGGTATTCAAATCCTCTTTAAAAGATAGACATAGACATAGATATATATATATAATATAACTCAACCCCCTCCTCCCCCCCCCCCCCCAAAAAAAGTGTTTTCGTTAGTAAATATGATGGTGTACAGGTCCACATGAAATACTGCAGTTTTTCTAAATCTCAAGACTTGAAAACAACCTTAAATATGTTGGGCTCCTTTCTCAAAAGACAATGACGCATGCGCCCAGATAAAATCACTCGTTTTGTTTTTTTTCTCTCTCGAGTCCGGGCAGATTCTTGAGCGGTAAAGTTTGCAACAGTTCGTGTTTGTGGATGTACCTGTCTTACGGTTATCTGCCTCCATGCTGTCCCATCTTGCGCGATTTCCTCACACATACTTTCATTGATGGCTGTAGTTCTCAGATCTCGCTTGCAACCTCTGTACGTTAGTCTTGGGCGTCCGAGCCAACGTAGTCTTGTGTGTGTCAAAAGAGCATGGATACTGTGTTTATTTGCCCATTTTAAAACTTCCTGATTGGAGACACGATTCCTCTAGAAGATGCACATTATACTTCGCAGGCAGCACAAGTAACAACTCTTTAATCCTTGCTCTGGATGCATGCATGTTGACTAGCTCTCACTACCATAAAGAAGAGAGCGTTGTACACTAGCATTTTGGTTACCGTAGTCAGTTTGTCAGTCCGGTTAGACACGATTCATTAAACATGTCTTAAATCTCTTCCTTGAAATCTTTCTTCGAAATACTTTCAATAAATCTCCCCAATAGATGGAAGTAGATAAGAAAACACTGTGATATTAAAGCTACAAGTAAGTCACATGACCAGATACTTCCCAGAGTAGGATTTTAGTTGACAGCTATTCTGTTGCATTGACTACAGATCTACTATTAATGTTACAATTCTACAGAATGTTGTATCAGCTTTAGATCACTTGTACTTCCAATGACAAATGATTTAGTATCACAAAAGAGGAGATAAAGGATACTTTCAGTCGAACTCAATTCTCTGTGGAACTTTTCAATGAAATGTTGATGAGAACTAAAACCTGACTGACAGAAATCACAGCCTTCTCTAATATTTGAATGAAACTATGGATTTCTTAAACTAAAACAAAATCAAAATGAAAACAATTTCTTCTTTATTTCTCAGACAATAAGTTTGTTCATCTTTATTTAATTTACACATCTATGTTGAAAAAAAACACTACTGACTATAGTGTAAAAGATATCACATTAACAAAAAAAAAAGGTAATGTTAAAAAAATAAAATAAAATTATGAAAACAAAAATGTGGAGCAATGTCATGGCTTGTAAACAAATTGGAATCTTTTGAAACTCAACTTTATAGTCACGTACAAAATTGAACTTCTATGTCAGGGACTATACTTTCCAGTAACTGACTTTCAGAGCAAGAAGTCAGAGGCAAAGGGCAAGGGATATCACAAGTACTGGACTTAGAGGCAAAGAAGATTACAGACATTGACTTAAGGACAAAGGAAATTACAGGTACCAGTACTGGATTAAAGGGCAAGGGAGATCACCTGTAGGCCAACTGGATTGAGAAACAAGGGAGATCACCTGTAGGCCAACTGGATTGAGGAACAAAGGAGATCTGAAGTACTGGAGAGAGGGAACTGGTCTTTTTACAGTGATATTAACAAAGAGCAAGAAGAAAGTGTTTTCTCTGTGTCCTGGGTGCCAGAGCATAGTCAGGTGAGATACCTGATGGGAACCATTTTCTTCCAGGAAGAACAGACTGTCATTGGGCTGGAGTCTCAACTCTCATGACATATGGCAGAGAGGCTGAATGAGGTAGGACAAAGTAAGGTGGAGATGCACATCAAGTAATCATTTAATAAATGCTAGCATTTATTATTCTAGCATACAAAATCACAGTGGATGTCTGAAATATACAGCTTCTAATAGTTGGTACTTTAACCCAATCCACACTACTCAATGTTAGATCATTACAATTTGTGATACACTTTTACTTAGAAATAAATCTCATAGTAATACTTAAAATTGTTTGATTAACAATTAATAGCAACTTTTTAACTAAATCAAATTATTTGCTGCTTCTCTCCTTTAAAACTTTTTATTTTACATTTTTCAAAAAAATACAAATATGAATAATTATAAAAAAGTAATTTTCAAATCTCATTATATCTGTGGCATCTTAAATAATAATTTTTTGTATATCTAATACAATATTAACAGAGGTTAATTTAATACATAAATGAAACTATGGGAATGAATTTCATATTCGTTTCTATTTGTCAATCATTCTACAACTGCCTGTTTTTGTCATAAACATAACTTACACATTATTTGCACATTAAATATATCTGATAGTAAAGCTTTGACCCAACTCCCAATCGAACACCATAAAAAACTCAAGCATATATATACACATCCTAAGCATTTAAAACTACACAAGACTACACACACAGAATCTAAAAGTAATTAGGACTAGAAAAAGAAGTAGCGGGTCACACACAACTCAAGAAATATTTGCTTTTATAACAAATGCACTGAAACTAAATGCAGATGTAATAGTTGTCATATAATTTTAAGAATCATTTTTAATAAACAACAGACATCAACTTTTGTTATCAAGTTGGATTATAATTGTAGATGAGTGCTGCAATTAAAATGAAGAACGCTGAGATAACAAACTCGCTGTGTATGTGTAAGTCAAACAGGTAATAGGACAGAGCTGTTGTCACAAATGGAGCTGCAGCAATAATAAACAGCCGAACAATGTTACTGTTGTATTTCATGATAAGGGAAAATAAAATGCCAGTCATAGCCTGAAATAAAGAGGATAATTGTAAAATAATATTGACAAACTGTTGTGTCTAAGCATGAAAAAATAAAAACTGTAAAAAATGCCATAGTAATAACTGAAGTAAAAACATAAACAGAAAAAGAAAAGTGAAATAAATAGTTAAATGTTAAGCATGTATTTCCAATGTACAGGTTAGTGATGCTAATGTCTGACAAAGCTAAGATGGAGAAACTATTTTTACTCATTCATTTGCCAGGCACCAAACTAATAAGAATAATAACTAACAATAAATTAATATCATGAGTTAGCTTCTTATGTTTATTGTAAAACAAAATATATTGCATTATAATTGCTAACTATATATTATATATAAATAGATTAAGCTTAGATATATTAGAATGTGTTTATGACTTAAGATATGAGATCAGGAGAAAAAATAAATATGTGTTTGGACCCTGTGGTATGTGCTATCTTAATGTTAGGGTTTGTTATATCTTATTGATTGCATCTTGAGGGTCTCTTTTTCTAGAATTGAGCAATACAGATTCAACTTATTCTCCTTAACAAATGTATCAAGTAGCACAGTGACCTACTTGTAGCTACTTGTTTCTATTGAGTGAGATGAAGGGATGGAAGGAACTATTGAGCCTGACAGACTTATTTGGTCATAGAAGCTGAATCCAGGTTGTGAGGAATAGTTTCAAGTGGTGAGGAATGTTGTAGATCATAGGTATTACAAGGTTAACAGGTCTATTTATAGAAATCGAGATTACAGAGATAAAAGATAAATAAGGAGAGATTGAGGAATCTAAACTAACTACAAAAATAATTATATTCTTTTTTTATACATGCCATTGGTACACTTTAAACAAGAGCAAATCTCTCATCAATTATTTTCTAGTTGGCAGCCATTTGTTTACTCCTTCAAAAAAACTATTCATCTATCCAGTATTTCCCTTTTATGTGATATAAAACCAATACCTGTGTTATAATAACAGTCCATGTGTAGAGTGAGTAGCCATGAAAGATGTCAAAGTAATCTGTAAATAGTTTAGAACATATATAACTAGTAAATAAAATAAATGTTTATAAAAGCAAAAATTAATTTAATTTTGGATTATGAAAATTAAAAAGAAAATGTACCGAATTAGGAGAAGTCTCCTGGATCTAGATCTAGACAAGATAATATTTTATGATCCAAATTGGAAAAAAATTATGATATGTACTATTTTGACTAAACTTTATTTGTAACAAATATAATGGCTGTCTTGAGCTCATTATTCCCTGTCCCTATCGTATGGAACATCAATCTAAATTTAAGCACCTTGTTTCAAAAACACAAACTAAAACTCAGCCCCCAAAGTGGTCCAACCAGGGAGGTTAAAAGGCAGGTTTCAATATTTTCAGAAAATACGAAAAACATGCATATATGTAACCCTGCCAGACCAAGTTACATTTATGCTTGTTTTTCTTATTTTCTATACAGTCTTTTACCCCTACAGCAGTAAATCTTTGTTTTTTGAGTCCTTGTACCTTCAATATTTTCAGAAAGAATATCAGAATGAAATTCTATCAAAGCCAAATGACAGAGAAGAATGGGGAAAGAAGGTTGACCGATGTTGTGTGGTACCCCAACGGTTCAGCAGATAAAGGGATAGGTAAAAGTGAAGCCAAAGTTAGATGTGAACTTGGCCTATCTGATGTCATATAATGATTGAACTAATTGTTTTGTAAAGAGCCAATCTTTTATTCAAAGCCTCAAGGAAAAAAAACATTACAGTAAAAAGAATAAATTTTAAAAATCTTTTAACTGATTGTGCTGTGTTGCAGTTCATGCGATAATATGAAAAAGTACTTGTTAATTGTTGTTGTAAACTATGTTCCACTTATATGCATATTATATATTATATTATTTGCCATTGCATCAAAACTTTGAAAGGTCTAAAATATCATGATGTTGGATTTTCAACATCTTTTCTAGTTTATGAGATCTAAACAGGACGGACGGATGGACAGATAGACCACACATAATTGATAGCGTCTATTCCCCTTTCGGGGAAATGACTTCAAATACAAACACTGACAGCGTTTATTTAACAAAAAGGACCACTTCAAATTGACGCTGGAAGCATTGCCAAGGGAGAAGAATTTTTTTTCCCTGTACATGTACATGACTCAATAGTTTTTACAAGTATTTGTAACTTGTCATAAACATGATGCAATTGTTTCCACAAGTATTTGTAACTTATCATATACAAGGAGGCCTGTTAGGTATTATTTTAAAAAGTTGTAAAAAAAAAGGTTTCATTGTTTTTTTTTTATAAATTTTTTAATTTAATGTACAAACCAAATTCATTTTACTTTACTGAATTTAATTTTAATGATTTATTTCATTTTCTAGTTTACAAACCTACCGGTACCAAATAAAGAATAAACTATTTCATAAAACAAAATATCATTATAGGCTTGATTAATGTAAAAACTGAATGTTATAAGACATTATTTTCAAGCGTCTATAAACAAAATAAGAGAAATCAAGTCTTAGAATAAATAAAAATTGTATGCAAATTTTCAGACTTATGGAAGTTTTGGGGAATTCAAAAAGTTACATTACAGATTACAAAACTTAACAACATTTTCAACTAATAGTTTTATTACTATATTACTTATTTTGAGACATTTTGCTCATTTCAATAGGCCTTGTATAGATAAACTACATATGTTAAATGAAGCTTGAGTGCCAAGACCCAAAATGGCCATAAATGTATAAAAATCTAAAATTGAGTACTATTATGGATTTGTATTTTAAAAATTAAAATATGAGTAACTTTTTTTTTTGTTAAAAACTTTATTTATTGAAACTGTAACAGTTGAGCCTAGAAACTTACAATTCAAAGCATAGTGTTAAAGGGCAATGAGTATTTTTAACTTATTCTATGTGATATATGGCTCCTTTTGTCCCAAAAGGCAATGGATGCGCCCACTGGTTTTGGTTTAGTCTTGAGAACCATTCTAGAGACTTTGCCACAATTCATGCATGTGTATGCATCTGATTCAGGGCTAGCGGACAGGGCAGCTTTCTTTTTTAAACTCTTGATTAAGGCCGCTTCGTTTCTTTTGCTCCCAGCACGCACAGTCTGTCTCCATGCACTCTGGTCTTTGGCCATTTCTTCCCACATACTTTCGTTGATGTTTCTGGCTCTCATATCTCGCTTGCAGACATCTCTATATGTTGGTCTTGGGCGGCCCTTGGGTCTGACTCCCTCCACAAGCTCAGCATACAAGATATCTTTTGGGATTCTACCATCTGGCATGCGAGTGACATGTTACAATCAGAGCGGTCGCCTTTATTTTTATAAATTGTAACTATGTTGGAGTCTTTCAATTCTTGGGGGACCATTCCTTGTTCCCAGCACAAGCTTAGCAGTTCGTAGAGTTGCTTGATTAGGGCATGTTTTCCAGCCTTTACTAAGCTTTTTTACTAAGGGCATTTTGTCTAATTCCCTCAAAACTGGAAGTGATGGGAAGTTGGAAATAGCATTTGGTGAGATGGGGTTTTCAATCTGGTAGAGTTCTGCATAGTGCTCTACCCATCGGTCCATTTGAAGCGCATGATCACTGATGATTGAGCCATCTTTTGACTTGAGCAGGGCACACTTGCTGGTGTGAGGTCCAAAGGCTTTTCTCATGCCCTCGTATAGTCCTCTTATGTTACCACAGTCAGCACAAGATTGAATATCTTCACATATAGCTCCTGCCAGTATTTGTTAGCGCACTGTATCGCTATTCTTCGGGCATTGTTCCGTGCAGTTCTGAGCCTTTTTAA